TCCATCTTATCTCTCTTCATTTCGTTTTCTTCTTTCGATGCTGCTGCGCCACCTAAGCGCACTCCATCACGTGTTCGGGAGATCCATCATGTTCAATAACTTACGTAACCGGACGAGGAAGGAAGCCCGGGCATCGCAGCGAAGAATGAGGAAAATGGGGTCAGGAGATGGAGCAGAGGCAGTGAGTGTTGGAGGAGAGAGAAGGTTAAGCGAGGGCGATACGGAGTACTTGTTTACTTGTTAAACCGTCTAAACCGTTGGCTACTTCGGACGCTGAGCGCGACCAGACAGCGGAAGCGCGAATAGAAGAGACAGACCGTAGACCGTGCCCTGTGTCCTGACCTGATAGCGATAGCGTAGTTGGTCGTCGTCGTCGTCGTGTCCTTGGAATGCTGTTCCCTCGGTCCTCGAGGCCGCGGCTCTCTGGGGATGGGAGTCTTCTGGGCCACCCGCCGGCACAGATCCGTCCCGCGCGCCTTGACACAGCACTGCATCTTCCTCTAGGTGGGTTGGGGCGGGGCGGGGCTCTTCCACCTGCAAACTTTGCATAAATCTCGTGAGTAGTGTGGGGAAATAAATATCCGTCGCGGCCACCGCTGCCCCGCTCTGCCCCGCCACGCCCCGCTACGCCCGGGGGGCCCTCTGGAGTGGAGCTCCAGGACCCCACCGCGCCGGCCGCGCACCCCGAGGGCCACCCATCTGTCAGGGCAGCGGCGCGGCCGTGCCCGATGTGTGACGGGCGGTGCCCCCCCTCCCACTCTCTCTGCCCCTATATCAATGGGTACACAATGGTACACAACATTCCGTGTTTCGAGTGTCCAGAGAGTTTCGAAGTTCACATATTTTGGGAAGAAAATAAGACAGGTGTGCGACAGCAAAATAGTGATGAGGAATGTAAAACCCCGAGATTTTGTTTTAAAAGAGCGTCATATATATAAATTTACAGTCATTATGAGTGTACCGTTAGGAGTCCATAGTAGTAAGTTGCATCAATGCGCAAGTAGTACGTGCACGCAACTGCAAAAAAATAAGAACGAATGGGTATAGGTCGTTTGCGATTCCTTCTTTCATCAGTCAGCGACCACCACCGGTCCCCACTCGGCGGTGGCAGGTCGGCGGGCGGCGCAGTGACCCCAGCGGTGTCATTTGACACTTTGCACGTCGGCACGTCCCTCCCGCCCCTCGATCAGCGCTCGCTCGCACAGCTCGCGCCACCTGCCAACAAAGTTCCGGCCGGCCGGGCCCCTCGAAGCAATAAGAAAGCGCGCGCGCGCGCCGGCTACAGCGTCTACACGAGCACGAGCGCGAAAAGTTGAAGACATAAATTTTCTGAAATGTGAACCGCGTCGCGGTGCGCTGCTGCGGCGCGGGGCCCTCCTGCGACTCGACCGCAGCGACTAACGAACTTGGCAGCCGATGCTTCCCGTCCGTCGCTCTCCTGCCCGCTGCCGCTGCGTCGCCCGCAAGACGCGACTTTTCCAAGTCGCCGTCAGCCTTCAGCCTCCTTCAGCGCCCGCACTCCAAGACTCCTGTCACCGCCTGTCGCCAAGCTC